GAGCCGCTATTTCCTGGAGAAGGCCCCTAAATTATCTTCACGAGCCTGAGTGACCCCGTTTCCAGACCCACTACTTCTCAGAAAAATTCTGACAGCGTCGGGAATCGAACCCGGACCTCGGGACCTGTAGCCAGTAACGCTGACCATTAGACCACCGAGGCGGTAACCGGCAAGAAGTATCAGTTAGTAATTAGTGGTCTTAGTCAATGCCCTAGTACGCAGGAAACGTTTTAAACATTTCTTCAGACTCTCGCAAGGTCACCATGCCTTAAAGTTGTAATATGAACATACAGGTAAAAAAAGGTAAATTTGTTCCTGTGCTTAACCAATTCAGCACTATGCCATGAAGATATATGGGGGAATGTATAGATCCAGGTTTTCTTGACCTCGGCATTATGTGGAGGTGAGCGGTAAGCTTCACACCTCGGCCGCTTAACCCCCGGAGAAAGAGGCCCCGGTCCCCATTGGATATGAGGCTGGGTGGGCCTCAGAATCGGACTGAAGAGAAAATTCTTGGCCTTACAGAGACTCCGACCCCTCGGTCGACACAATTTTCAGATATGCCTCAGATATGAAATTGCGTATGGTGTGTTAGCTAGCCCTGACATGTGTAATTTCTATTTTATTGTGAGGACAGAACTAGCCTTGTTTTACACAAAAGAAGATAATGCTTTTTAACGAGACGGTATATTTTTCAAAGTATGTTTGCCCAGAATTTCCGAATCTTGTAGCAAATGGCGGTAGTGTCCCTCACACCTCAGAAATTCAAATATCCGCCATAACAGTGTTACCAGGATAGGACATAAAGTATTTGAATACTGAAATTTTGCTATTTTTACGAATAAGTCGTCAAATTGTGCAAATGTTATTAGAAGGAGAAAATGCTCCGCTACACACACACACACACACACATATGATGATGATGATGATAATGATGATGATGATGATGATGATGTACCCTTGTCTGGGTAGTATAAAATAATGGGAGAGGCTAAAGATAAGCTTTCCACCTGAGATACCGGAATAAATTGCAAGTTTCGCAGATATCAAAAGCTCTCATCGTGATAAGGTCAGTGATTATTACGAGTAAAATATACACAAAAATCGATAATAGGTCTTGCGCGCAATTCTTCTGCGCAGTACCTCTATCTGAATGGCGTTAGGAACACCTGCCTTGCTCGTAGACACCAAAATTGAAGGGAACATATTGCAACCTCGGAGCAAGCTAGAGTACATACTTCTTTCGGCGCTACTGAATATTCCAAAACAAAGTATGCTCACAGAATTACTGGGTTTCTGGACTTCATCCATCGTCCGGTATTCTATAAAATAGAAGACACGACGTTTCGGAAACTGGATCTGTGTCTGTCCTCAGATGACGGGGAATNACACGACGTTTCGGAAACTGGATCTGTTTCTGTCCTCAGATGAGGGGGGAAGACACCTACTCAGTTGGGCTTCTTAGAAAGAGCTAATCACAACCCCTGTCAGATTTACACACATATTTCAACATGTAAGACTAAGTTACTTCAGCGGGAGATAAGAAGAAACCATAAAATAAAAAATGTGATAGAGCACGCATATACCTCCTTTTCTATTTTAGTTCCAAATATGTGCGTGTTTTATCATAATTTTTATTGCATATTTTATTGTTACCTCCCGCCGAATTAGTTTGGTCTCAAGTGATTAAATAGCTATGTAAATCTGACATTGGTTGTCCAGTAATTGAGGTTAGTTCTTTCTAAGGGACCCAACTGAGTGTCTTCCCCCCTCACCTGATGATGGAAACATATTCAGTTTCCTTAACGTCGTGTTTTCTGTTTTCTAGAATACTGGACGATGGGAAAAATCCAGTAATTTTGTAATTCTGTGTTATACACCATCGTCAAAACCCTTCTACAAAGTATGCTGTTATGTACGAGATATCTGGAACTGTTTTGAGACGTAGTTTCCGCGGGGATGGTGTAGAAATATGCTTTAGACTGTATTTGGTATGTCCAAAATTTAATGAGCAGAGCTGTGTCTGTGTAGTGTTAACTTGCCTTAGGAGGCCAGAACAACGAAGGAAATATATTACAGTTTTCATAATTTCCTCTACATTACGAATGTCTTTCAGATCAGTACTAGTCTTGTCTCTGGCAACTTCGGTTAATTTTATCCCACTGTGTTAGGTTACATAATTAATATTCGGAAATATCTGTAATCAACAAATCTATTTTCATGACCTGTGTTTCGCACTTTTTACAGTCTTAGAACAAGGGTTTCATTGTCGAATAAAGCTACATACGTTAGATTCTAAATACATAACGAACAGTGTTGATTTTCTGCATTTTTCTTCCCGGTTATATCAGTTTGTCCCCGAACTGAATGGGAGCACGCGGTAGCGTTGTTGGTTGAGACACTGTGCTACAAGCCAGGTCACGATTTCGATTCTCTATGAGGTCATTGAAATTTTTGTTTTACCTAATCCTTCCAGCCGCACTATGGCCCTGGGGCTGATTCAGCCTCTAACAGAATTGAGTACCAGGAATCTTCCTGGGGGGTAAAGGGCTGCCGGAGCGTAAGGCTGACCTTACCGCCATTTGTGTACTGATTGTCTAGAAAATGTTGGATTCTCGACTTCTCACAACTCTATGGGTCTCCACGGCCTGTTACAGGGGAAACTTTACCTTTTTTTACCCAAACTGAATAGCGTGCTTTTATTAAAAATTAATTATCCTTGTAAATATGTACATAGGTTCGTGACGAAGGTTAATCCAGTTATGGACGTTTTGGACACGACTAACTGTCCCATATTTGTATGTTTTTATTTGCTTTTTATTTTATCGTCCGGAGATAATGGCTAGCTCTATTGATTTGACCCAACTGAGTATGCCTTTTATCTGAGGACGGGGGCATAGCTCAATCTCCGAAATTATTTTTTTCAGATAAAAGAAAGGTGATAAGTAATGTCCAAAAACTGAATCATTTATGTAGCTGGTGCAGTGTCCATTATGATCAAGATAACTGACAGAGTATAGTAGAAACGTGCAACCTCCTGCGGTCACAGGGTCAAGTGTCAGTTTTCAAGAGCCGAACAAAACACCCTGACGTTAACATACGTAAGCACAATAGATCACTGTAGGTCGCGGTGCAAGGGCCGAGAGGGCCCACCCCTTGTACATTCATTAACATACTTGGGCACACTCAAATTATCAGCCATTATTCCCAGACTTAATTGTTCATTAGTTTATCTTCGACACAATATTCCGTCTTTCTTCATCATCAAGAGACAGCTAACACTGAAAAACATGACACAAAGACAATACACGATTGACACTGGTTACTTTACTTTCAGAAGGAAAAGGTGGTTATTCCGCAGACAACTACTGGCCGCTTATTGTACAAGTTGTGTTGCATAAAAGTTGATTAACTGTTTCACATATGCCTGATGGACCTCAGACTTCCATTATACCGAAATAAATATTTCATAAAATTATATATAAACTCCTGAACATGGCACAATAACAAAATCCGTCGAAGCGGCCTTCTGTTTTGAAGAAAACTGTAAATTCGCGTTTGATCCTCCAGTGCGTTTTGCGTCAGTTTCCTGAAGATAACATCTATGCAGCTCTAAAAACTTGCTTTTATCCTTGCGCCCTTGTGGGAACTGTACTTTCCGTGTTCTTTTCCATTCTTTTTAACAAGATCATAAAGAAAGCTTTTGTCAATTAAGTTTCTTCAAAACATTACAAAATTAATTGAAACTGTTCCTTCAGTATGCCTAATCCTCCTGAAATGTTAACATAAATAAAAATATCCAAAGGCGTTGTAAATAAAGGCAAAATGAAATATTATTAAATCCTTCCTTCAAAACTATTTATTGTTCTTAAAAGAAACTGCACACACATGTGACAGAATACTGATCTCTTCTTCCATTCAACAGTTGTGTTTAAGAATTTATATGCGCTGAATATTCAACGACAGAAAGTCACGTCTTTACCGTATCTATATAATTAAATAGGTGTCTTTTACAGGCCACTTCATTATAATGTAAGAAAAAGTTCAAGTATTATACGTACGCGCTGCTGACACGGGGTCCCTTGACAGGTTCTTCAGTCACACATTCATGCGAATGCCAAAAGCAAAAGCCGCGCCTTGCCTCAGACGGTTAGTCACCAGCTTCCCATTCTACAGGTCTGAATCAACACCAGATCAAGGAACGTGGGATTTATGGTGGACGAATTAGAAATGGGGTCGGTTTTTTCTATGTATTTCGGTTTCTCCTGCCCATTCTCATCAATCATCCAGTGTTGGTACAATGCGCCCACTAGTGGCCGACGTACCAAGTGAAATCAGACTCACCCCACCCCACAAAAAATTAAAGAAAAGAAAACAGAAGACATACTGAAGAAAGCAGTCTTCTTGGATGAGGCGCCTTGTAGATATTGTGTTAACCGGCTCGACATTAGTCTGTTAGCACCTGCTCACGTTGGTTCCTCGCACGCGGATTTTCTTTATTCGTCTACCCTGAACATGGAGGCGATACGTTCCTCCAAACCGTCGTTTAACACAAGATCTACAGGGTGCCACATCCCAGAAGACTGCTTTCTTCATAGTCACCGCCGTGAACACCTCAAATCTTACATATATACAGAAGGCATATTGTTTATGAGAGATATTGATTCGCATGAAACAGTGACGTACCTAAACGACACATCTCCTTTGATTGCAAGAATATCCAATGACGGACTTCATGTTCTCCTGTTTCAGTTAAATCCTCAACATACGGTCCCAACTTTAGATGACAATGGTTTCGTCTTGTGGGAAAGGTAACTATTCTACATACAATACGAGACTATAAGCGACGCGTTTCCATCTCCCTGCCGAATACGTATCTAAAGTTTCGTAATTTTCTTCTGTGCCTCTAGGCGAATTCCGGGATATACTAACATCGTCACTCCCAAGCGCCTCCAAGCAAACGTCTCAGAATCTTACGATGCAAACAAACAGAGCATTATAATTGTATTCGTGGTTCTAAATATTTTGATAATTGTGGGTATCACCACATAGTTTATACGTTGGTTTCCAAACAGGAATTTCTGATTCACACAAAACACGTTGCTCTGAATACATTTATCATGAAACGTAATGTGATATGACGCCAGAAAGCCGGATAATGACATCAGAGAAGACGTTCATTGTTAGCCAACGACTCGTAAATACATTCTTACGGCAACGAATACGCAAGCAAAAATCGAATAACTTCCGTTGATATGCAACGGCGCTGTAAACACGCCTTCCCAACAATAGAAAGGCTGTGTTTTCTGCGTGGTTCGTGCAAAGTAGTTATAAAGAAAAATTCAGTTGAAAAGAGGTGAGTTCAGTTTCGAGACGCCAGACTGCATGGATATTCGCTTGGAAGCACATGAGTGGAATTCAGTCGAGTCTTCGGGATTGGCAGTTGCAGAATAATGGCAAGAAAGGGAATTAGGCGGCGCAAAGAAGACTTCATGTGTGATTTGAAGTTTTAGTGAATTTTCAACCTCAGAAGGACTAGGATCAGGCATTAATTGCTCAGCTGTATGTAACTCTGTCTGCCTAACATCACATTCAATAACTGAGAGAAGAAGTTCCTCCACCTATTCAAAATTGTGTGAGAATTTGCAAGAAGATCGCCATTCTCATCCTTCACTAAATTACTTCTAAGGTGGTAACCCCTCTTACAGTCATTTATTCCTCTATACAGGTCTCTAATATTCTCGTTCTTACTGTTCATTGCAAGCTCATCAATTTTGTCTTTCAGATATTTCCTCTTTCTGTTCCTGAAATGCCTGCTGGTTTTGCGTCTTTTTTTTTTAGATTATCCATGTTTATTTCGCTTGGATCCTGTAACCTTTGCAATTCGGTTTGTTTTCTTTGGTCTAGTAATTTTGAGCATCCTTCATCGAACCATGGCTTATGCTTCTTCGATTTATGATAACCTGGACTCTCTTTGGCAGAAATGTTTATATTTCCTCTAATAGTTTCCCAAGCTTTATTAACATCCACCTCAGTGTCCAAGTTTTCCAAAGCCGCAGACCTGTTTGAGATTTCAACACGATACTGCTCTTTACCCTCTACCTCGTTTACTTTCTTGAGACTGAAATGTCCCTTAACAATTTTCCTAAATAGACAAATGGCTATTATTGAGTTCTTCCCCTAACAGTTTATTTAGTACGTGTAATTCCTGCAGTCCCTATTACAGAACATACAGCTGAAATCGTTTAATTTTAACAGTTGCTATTTGCGTTCACAGCCGCGCCATATTAGGCTACCTGGTGAACCAGTATGGGAAGGATGAGTCGTTGTATCCTACTGAGCCCAAGAAGCGCGCCATTGTGGATCAGAGGCTCTACTTCGATGCCGGAACCCTTCACACCAGGAATGCTCATTACATGGTACTATTATGGCGCGTACAGACTAGCGAGCTGTTGCATGTAACGTAACGGTTACTGTAACCACATTGTGTTAGTGTGGACGCCTTCCGAACCACGCTCGCGAACGTACTTCGAGCCCGTTCTGTAACACTACCGGCGAGCCACTGCCTTGTCGGTCTTTCTGCAAACACAAAGGGACTCGCAGTAGGCTCGTGGACGCCACAATCGCTTGCTCGTAAATGTGTACGTTTCCTCCGAGCCAGGAGTAGCGTTGCGAATCGCTGTGTCTTCATGGCGAGCTCACCACGAACACTATGGATCGAGTCGCTCGCAGCTGGTTACATGACGACTATGGACGTACCGTCCATACGAAGACGTGGTTACAGTAACCGTTACGTTACATGCAACAGCTCGCTAGTGTGTACCCGGCCTTAGGTGCATTTAAGTCTGCTCTTTCTGGGATATTTTCCTTAACGGTATTACTGAATATAATTGTGGAGGACTCTTCTTAACACGGCAATATACCTTCGGCTTCCACAAATTCTGGGGAATATCTTGACTAGCAAAACGATTATTGGCCCATTAAAACAAGATTCTGCACTAAGGATTTGGTTAATAGTTGTTACTCATAAATTTTGTATATTTTATGCTGTAACGTATAATGAGTCCTAGCAGATATCGTGAAAGTCGATACCAAGTGGTGCCATCGTAACAAATGAACTAAGTTAGGGAAACACGAAAAATGGCCTCCTGAAACATCACTTGAATTTGTGTCGAATTAAATCTAGAAAATTTTGTTCCATGTTGATTACAAACGGTGAAATATGTTAATTATACAGGATTAATTCGAATATATCGCAGTATGTAGTACTTATCTTTTATGTAGACATTTGTTTAAATATGTTTTCTGCGGAGTAAGACGTAGTTTTACAAACACTGTTTTCATGAAAATAAGGCTCATCTTTATATCGTCTTACAGAGACACGATAATTCACCATGAGATTTGCTGTATGCAGATCTAGAAAGCGGATATCTGTAGCCATATCTCAAATAATGAACATACTGCTGACAGAAGCAAAATAATTTCAACATAACCGCCATATGAAATGGATTTTAAGTTTCGGTAAAAATGAAGGCGATCTATTTATGTACAGTATAGCTTCTATTTATGTGTGTTAATAAATATAAAATCCGGTCTAGAAAACCGAAATTAACGGCCATGGGGATCCGTTACGCTGACCACGTGACGTCCTCTTTCCGCAAAAGTTGGCGCTAAACTTTGCCGACAAGCGGAGGTCGCTTGTGGACTAAAATCACGGAGTTTCTTTTAATAAATATAAAATGTGAATGTAAAGTGGAAATAATTGCCCTTTCATAAGTTAAACGAGTATGCATCGCAGTCTAAAAATTACACCATTCTAGGATGATTTCATAGGCTACATACGTTCCTTTTTTTTTTCTTCAGGAGCCAGTTTTCTTCTTCGGTGAAGCACCCAAGCCGGAGAAATTAGAAAAGATTAATGAAGCTCTCGGCTACCTGAATTTGTTCCTAGAGGGTCAGGACTGGGTCGCTGGAGACAACATTACAATCGCAGACATTTGCCTTGTCGTATCTGTTTCGAACTCAGAGGTAAGTAAGTGGTTTTCCTTTCCATGTCAGATATGCCTTCTTTAAAAATCGCTGTACAACCAACTATAGATACGTATATTACAAATAAAATTATACCGTAATATATTGTTCCTGTCAATACTGTGTGAAAACGGAGGGGGGGGGGCGGTTTCTGTGTTTCCTTTTCCATAAAGAGTATGCGCTTGAGCAGGAAGTCACATCTGTCTGCATGTTTCACCTCCTAATCAAATGACTGGATTCAAATTTAATTTGTTGAAGTGCTTATACTAAAGTTTTGGAAGGAATTTAATTGCAATTCATATTGTCCTGATGTAAATTCTACTTTACATGAAGCTAAAATTTAATTGTATCGGCTTTCCAAGAAACGGTTAACTCTTCAAGAATGTGTACATAATGTGAACTAGCGTCTTCATTAAGGCCTACAGCCTTTGTCTGAAAAACATTTCCCAATATTATGAATACTTGACGAAAGAAAAGAAATTAATAATTTCAGAATTTATGTAATCTGAACAGTTTTGTAATAACATATTTGTTATGGGAGAACTGACTACTGACATTCATTTGTTGAAGAAAATACATAATTGCTTATCGTTCTCAGAAAGACATTTTAAAAATTCAACTATACTATGCCCTACTACGTACTTAGTGTATGTGTAATATAAGGGAAAATCAATATATACCGGGCTACACGGGGTCACATCCCAGAATACATTACTTTTATAGTCACCATTATAAGAAGCTTGAATCCAACAATACACAGAAAACCTTGGTTCGACATTTAAGTAGTACTCCATATGAATACTGATAGGCTATAGCAAACAAAAATATATTTAAATAAAACTACGAGTATAGAAAATCAGCACTCAAAGTTCAGAAATTATGTTCACGGTTGCACGTCTTTTGTTGTTCCTGGGAGTTGCTGACAGTAGACATTTTTATGGGGGGAAGAATGGAGAAAAAACTGACTTGGACTCGAACCCGTGCATGTAAGTTTAGAATTTGGACAATTTTCCTGGATTTTCCTTGAAAAATTAAAATTTCTTGCATTAATCACTTTTCCGTCGCGACGTTTCGGAGAAGAAACGTGGGACGAACGGACAGATAGACTACCGGATATTTAGTTATTATATAAATGGAATATAAAAGAATATATACAGGCAACTAGAATACTAATGGAAACTCGGATACTCAAATCATACATAGACAACAGAACGTACATGTGGCAATATAGAAGACACAATTGACATTATACAAATAAAACAGAGAAAGAAGGAAAATATTTGAACACATTAGGAAATGTACAGAACTATTAGCCTTATTTTGGACTCTATCCATCGTCTGGTATATATAAGCATGCACCATCGTAAGAATCCTTTCAAGTCTATTTGTGTAACCGGTATGAACCCGATATATACCCTTCTCTTAGCATACACCATCGTCAGAATCCTTTCAGGACATTAGGAAATATTATACATAATTAGTAAAGACAGATTACACATTAATGACACATTTATCGGTACTTATAAACCGATATTTGAAACACTACGCCAGGTAGCAGCACACACGCTCCAATACCCTAAATAAAACATAACCAGTTCCACAACACACTCAATAACATCAACTGCACACTTGATATACAACATACATACCAAAAATTAAATATATATTTAGCCGCATTAACAAGGCACAACATAAAGATATGCCATGAAGAGAAAATGCTAACATGATATATCATTGCACATTACGATTACAATATGCAATATGCGGCACAGAAGGAAAAACTACATTGACTTCATTTAAAAACATTGTAAATACGGAGACACCGATCGGAATAGCGCGGAAGGCAGTTTCCTCGAATTTCAATGTACCTGATGATGGCTAATAATGCTGAAACATGTAGTGTAGTGACGAATTTTAAAAGGATTAAATTTTAAAACTTTATTTTGTTGGATACTGGATGATAAACAACTGAAAATAAATTCTAATAATACTTCCAACAAAATTTTTGACGCTTTCAGTATAGGTTATATACACTTACATGTATGCAGTGTGTATGTGATTATTTTTCCACCAATCCTTACAACCATTTTAACAATTTTCTTCTAATACCATCTGAAATAACATAATTTCTACCTTACTACTACATGGCAAAATATTTTGAAAATATTTATATGCCAGAACATGCAACTATAGTAGTGTTCTCTTTTATTTCATAGGCAATTGGAGCTGACATCTCCGTGTTCCCTAATCTTGTTGCCTGGTATGAAAAGATGAAAACAGAACTCGAGGACTATGAAGAGATCAATCAGACTGGGGCGAATGTTCTTGGCGAAATGTTTCGCAGTAAACTTACTTGAACATTTCCGTTCAGTTTGTCATATACAGAGTTTTATGTAAAAGACACAAGTTATTTTCGTCCTTGAAATCTGCAATTTTAATGTATACATTTTTATTAGACTTATAAGAACCATATTATTTTCTGCGTTCTCATATTTAAACTCGGCGTATAATCTTATTCCCCTGACGTCACTTACACCAAAAGCAAGAAATTTTGTGACATTTTTAAGAAACGTGAAGCAACTGAATATTTCAGTATCAATTTGCATCTCCAAATCTTTAGTTCCAGAAGAGGAGTTAAAACCCAAGCGACACACTACGGCGATCTTTGAAAATATATATAAAACTTATAAGGTCACAGATTGTTCAAAGCCGACAAAATGCAATATAAACAGAACTCTTGATTTTATAAATGACATTTCTCAATAATCCGAAAGGTGTCCGGCTACAAGTATCCAAACAAGGAATTCCGATAGGCCGCGCCATAGCTTAAGCGGCTAGT